GATTGACTCGCCGTTTGTTTCTAAGATTGATATGAGCCTTTCTTTCGCGAAGCTTTCTAAAGATTGGACAATAGTTTTCAGAAGAGCTCGATCAAGTAGATAGAATCTGGGATTGGTGAGTTACAACTGGCGCCCTCGAGAGACGCTGATGAGCGACTCGCCTTTCATTTACGAGGTAGACACGTCTTTTCTTGCGTAAAGCTTTGAATGAAATATAGAGTATTTTTCGAAAGAGCTGAGGCAATTGTTGTGGTGAAGATGACTAATTCAAAATCGTACCAATTTCTCATAAAAGCCAAAGAAATGTAATCTATGATGAGAATATCGCGCGAATACTACATATTCCAAACTCGACATTATCAGTGTTGCTTTTTCCAAATTGCAAAAGTTGAAAAACTTGTTCGTATGGTGTTGGCTATAGCATCACACAAACTGACGATTTATCTAGTGATTGTTTGAAATCAATAAGAGTCTAAATTATTACATTCCGGTTAATATTAATTCATCTATACATTATTTTTAGGTTTGTTTTAATGAATACATATTGAAATAATGGTATCAGTTATATGAACAAGATTCGTTCCCTTTCATGTTTATTCAAGAAAATTGTTCGAAGAACAATGTAAAACATTTAACAGAAAACATCAGTAATTCATACAGATTATTTTTATTTTGAAACAACTTCTTTGATATAGTTGCACGGTGTCTTGTTCTATTAGCTACCTACGTCCTAGTACACAAGATGACATGATCGTTCTGGACTATGTTAATCTGCGAATTGAGTTCAGCAATATTTTTGAAAAAAGAAAAATAATATTTTGTCGACATCTAATTATCAATGATTTCTTTCTAAATTATTTAATCTGAAGGGACTAGATGTGAGTGAATGCTTGTAGACTAGCAATAAACAATATTATTTTTAATTTTTAATTTGATTGAAGAAGTGATAATAAGCTTCTTTCATTCGCTTCATTCTTATCTATGAAATAAATGTTTCTATTGTATCAACTATTGATCATTTATAATGTTCTTCGGTGAATTTCATTTCGAAGGTAAACGAATAAATCAGAATGAAATTTCAAATAAAGAACGTAAAATTTGATCAAAGCGACACAGTACAACAACCGGCTTGCCAAGTAAAGAGCCATAGAAAATGTCTGTGAAAGTTCCAAACATCTTAGCGAAATTCTTCTGAAAATGAATCAAATATTATTTTCCTTCTGTACACACGAGATTGTTTAGTGAAAATGAATAGATTCTCTACTTGGAAGTATGTAGTTAATGGCTCATGTACATTTCACAACAACTGAGTTAATGATAGGAAGGTCGTTTGTAATTCGATATTGAGTTTTCTTTTCTGTTCTCTTTTGACAAGTGTATCACAATGAACAGGCTCAGAAGAAAGGGGATAGTTGAATCTGATAGTACTGTAAGTGTAGGTCGAAGAGTGGTATGATTGAAGAGAAGACCCTCACTCATATCCACTCACATCCTGATTTGTTTTTCGATTGAATCGACAATGTTGTTCTTCTTTCTCTTAGGATAGCTATGGATTCAACTTCAAATAGCCAAGAACAGTCCGATCATGTGAGGGTGGGTACGTATATGAATGTGAGTAAGAGAAAACTCCGCTATTCACCAATATTCCACACCTACACACCTAGTTATGTAACGATGAGCAGTCCAATTATAATAATAACTTGCAATATGTTTTTCAATTATACACTCTTTCTCATGATATGTCATAGAATTCGTCAAAACCTAGTGTTGCAATCGAAAGGATGACTTCCTTGAAATAGACTAAATATATATGAAAAATTTTATCGTTTCATTCAGTCTTCTTATTGAATATAACAGTCATACTATTTCTCTATAAAATAAAACAAGTTTGAGTCTAAAATACTCTACTTTGGGGAGAGATATCAGATTTGCTGCAATGGTGCGAAGTTATGATTTAAACGAGAGGTTGACTTAAATAATAAATATCAACGAAAACAAAGATAAATTGTGTCATAAACGCGATTTTTTTTTGTGAATAGTCATAACAAGCTTTCAGTGGATTTAAGAACTTTTTTTAGCGAATATTATTTATTTTGGTTTGCTTAATAGGATACAAATCAAAAATGTACACCGTGCCTGTGAAACAAGGCGAAGTCGACGCAACAGAGAATGGTGACCGCCCGATAGATAGTAGCGGAGGTAGCCATCGCCTAAAGCCTTCTCAACCGGCAGCGTGAACGCACCTAACGGTAACTGAAAAAACTTTTTTTTTCGCCAATTTTCTTCTCATTTTTGCTACTCTGTAATATTTAGTGCTTCATTTCTGAATACTTATCTAAGAACGACAACATAATATTGAGAATACCACGAAAGAATATTTAATTAGGTAAGATGTAATCAGACATATAATATATACTTATAGGATGTTCGTTTCCATCTTAACTCATTTAGTAGTTAAATTTGCAACATTTAAGTTTTATTATGTTGATCACAATGAAAATTTTACTCATTTTTGAGTTAGATCGATTTGTTATCAAGATAATTATTAATCAACATTGATTATGATTTAGTTTATAAATTTAACAAATAAATATGAAATGTCGTAACAAAATAAATAGCATCTTAGGAAGAATGAGTCTATCAATAAACAAATTCCTTCTCTTAACTTTTTAGCGTTTACTGTACATTTTTTTCTAAAATTCCTAGTAATCAAGTTTAACAGCTGCTTTGATTAAGTTACGATCTTCCAGAAGACACATAAAAAGGAAGCGGAGGCGAAATGGTTCGTCCATGGACGATACAATTTCTAATACAAATAGTTAGATTAATATTTTGGCCATTTTTATATTTTTATATGATGATTGATGATAATCAAATCGTATGCATATTCCAACAAATGGATAGTGTTGACAACTAGAATTATTTTTTTGTATAGATTATTATGACATGGCATAAAAGAAAGTTTTGATTCTTGTGAAGATCTATTATCGTTTAAGAATATTTATCTAAGCATGAATCAATCACAAAAAAAAAACAAAATTATTTATATCAACTTATATATGAAATATTATCAGATTGAAACCTCATTTATTCGTTTCTATGTGATACAAAAACAAAATGATGTTAATGTGAATCAAGTTATTCTTTTTTCTCTATTATACTTCAATACCACTTCTAAAATCAGCAATGAAAATGATTCAAGACTTAATCAAACATTGACATAGGCAACCTGCATATGTATGTATATTTTCTTCTCTTTCCTTCCTACTACTACTACTACTCAACATTTTTTTTTTCATAATCCTATGGAAGAAAAGAATAAAACATTTCTATCAACGTTGTAAGTATACCATCTATAAATTTCTCTCGTATAGTTTATGGATACTATTTATTCTTATGCTTTGGCAGTATTTGTAATTGTATTCTCTTGGTAGCTTTAGCATTATGCAGATACATACAGTGAGTAGTAAAACAATTTTTCTTAGCGATCTAGTAAAAGTAACTATGTTATTAATATAACCTGAGAAAATGCTTGAGTCATATAAATATCAACAAAGACATATGATTTAATACATGACATTATTTGACGTATAGCACTGATTTTTCGATGATAAGACTCGTATGTCATGAAAATGCCATCTGTCGTGGATAAAAACACATCATTTCATGTTTATAAAAGGTGTTCCATAATAACTGAAAGTAGTAGTGAAATATATCGACAAGATTGAATATACATAATTTTTGCGTACTAAATTTTAGCTTTATTTTCACTGTGAAAAAATGAGACAAAAATCTAGCACGAAAAATCATGTATTTCAATCATGTCGATATATCTCATCGTTAGTTATAGTTCAAGAATTGAAACTTTTAAAAACAAAAAGATTTTGATTAAATATATATGCGATAAAAATTTCCGAGCCTCTACATCAAACAAAAATATCATTAATAATTTATCGTCAGTTATTATGAAACACTCGTTAGAAACAGAAAAAAAAGATCTTTTCTTAAAATTTTAGATGTTGATTAAATTTATTTTTATTTTTATTATCTATTCTTCAATTCAAATTGTATATAGTTCTAATCTTTTTTCACATGAATTCAATATAAAAAATGGTGGTCATGCTTTATATGCTCTTCAACAACTTTTAAATTTTTTTGAATCTGATGCAAATAATCTTAATCTTGATGGTTTATATGGTTTACGTATAGCACAAGGACAATTAAATGTTCTTCATCAAAATTTAATATTATCAATTAATAAAAAAAATTCTTTAACTGATAAAAATAATATTATTCATTCATTATCAATACAAATTGAACGTATAGCAAATATAAGTTTAAATAGAATAGCATATGAAGAAAAATCATATTTACATCAATTTTATCTTATTGTCTATCATCCATTTGTAATTGATTATCAATCAAGAAAAATTAATAAACATTTAATTGAACATGGTAAACGAAATTCAAATTTTCATGAAGAAGAATCTGATAAATGTTTTGCTGAATTACTTGGTAAAAAAAAATCAGAAAAAAAGAAACATAAGAATTTGATGTATACTTCTTTTTCTTTTTTTTGATTTTAGGTACAAGTGATCGTTTAAATTCAACAAAATGTTTTATTAGTGAATCATGTTGGAATATGATGACATCTCCAATGAGTCAAAATTATCGTTTAACACATCAATTATTATGGTTTTTAATTGCAAAAAATATTGATTGTATACATGATGATATAGCAAATAAAAATTTAAATCATTTTGAAGATTATTTTTGTGCAAATATATATGAAGATGCTAGAATGAATTTATTTCATAATATTAATCAAGATTTATTTCTTGAACAATTATTACTTTGTTCAATAATTGGTTATGAAGAATTTTTACGTTTTGATTGGTTTAATATTATATTAACATGGCAACATCCAGATTATGGTTGTTTTAGTGATAAATCAGAAACAATTCGATTTCATCGTAAAACACGACGACATTTATTACTTGAACAAGAAATGAATAATGGTTGTTTATCACATAAAAGTGGTTTAGCAGCAGGATTATTAGCTACTTATTCGCGAGTTTTTCTGCAATAAAATAGAATATAATTATTATTTAATTTTGTAAAGGTGATTCTATTACTAAAGATTTTATAGTCGATTTCTTGATTTTGTTATTTGATTCCATGTTGAAAATTTTTACAACGATTATATAAAAATAAAATTTCAAATTGTAGAATATTTTGAGAAGTTTACATGTATTGAAAACTGCTTTCGAGGTATTAATCCTCATTCAAACATATGAGATCTTTATAGAGTCTTGTGGGACAAACTTTCATAGTGTCTCGTCCCGAAAATTTTTCAAAATGTCCCAGTCCCGGACGTCCTGTGGAAAAAACTTTCGAGAGAGAACAAACGGGATTTTTTTAGGATTCGGGACTGTCCCGTAAGGAACTCTAGATCTCTACCTGAACTTCAACGAGATTCATTTCAATGTTTAGTGCAATTTATAGGAGAAGTTTGTATTTTTTGATTATTTCTAATTTTGTTAAAGTGACCAAATTGAAATGTACTGCTAGTTTAAAGTTAAGCATTAAATGACAATTTTGAATTTACCTACTTAGTAAAATCAGAAATTCCATTGGTTTGAATTACTTCATTCTTTACTTTCTGTGAAACAACATTTGTGAGCAATTGTTAGTTTCACGATCTGATACCAAGAAGAAACTGTTTTCATTGAACTTTTGACATTTCTTTCAACTATTTCAGCGCTATTTCCTCGACTGAAAGGACGATCATGCGAAATACTACAAGTTCGTATGTTTGCATGGGTGTGTATAGTCACGTGTTTAAAACATCAGACTAACTATTTAAGATGGCTACTTCGTCCTGTACTTTCAACCAATCAGATGCTTTCGCTATTTAGCTCTCGATCAATCGGTTTTTTTTCTGGTCGGATGTGTTGTTACTGTTGGTATAGATGTGAATGTGTTGGTGTGGTGGTCACTTGTTGCGTTGGGTGGGTTTGAGTATGATTGGTTGAATAGGTAAAGAGAAGAATAAGATAGACCTGTGTATCCAAATCCACACCGGTACCCGCATCAATATTCATACTCAGACTTACACAGACACCTACCCTCATGCATACATTTGATATTAGTATGAATTAGGCTTGTATAGTGGTATATTATATAGGAAAAGTTGAAATATTCAGTCGGGGGTCAAGCCAATCACAGCGGCGAATGTTACTTGTTAATTTGCTTTTATGTTTATTTGTTTTACTCTTAAGATTTTTCTAGGACCTTCATAATTAGATAATAGTACTAACGGGTGGACCAGAAGAAATTGCCGGCTTTTGATAGGCCGTTTTCTCAAGTTAGACTGGATGAGAAAGTTTTGTTCTGATGTCAAAAGATAGAGAATTTTGTGTAGATTTTATTGATATATTCTTTGCGAAATAAGTATTTGTCCTTCTCTTGTAGCATTAAAGGTATTCGATACCACAAAAACAGCATTTGCTCAACTGCAAAATGAGACACTTTTAAACTAAAATTTTTGCTCGGTTAATTATAGTTCAAAAATTTCTTCTTGTTACTAATCGATGCCGAATTTTTCGATGTATCTAGTGGTGTCTTTATTTTTTTAAGCTTAATTGTTTCTGCTTCAAAAACCACAAAATATTAAGAAAACACCTTGGGTTAACAGAATCGTACTGTTCGTTGCCAATTTTCTCCGAACTCGGTTTTACAAAAACTACTCTTTTTATATCAAAAGATGTAGAATTTCAAGCTCTACAAAATGCTCTTCATTATTAAGAGCTGAATTCCTTTTCTAAACTAATGATGAGGCTGAGATCTTTCGCCAGCAATAAAAAGATACCAAAACTTGACAATTAGGCATTTTTTGCAAGCGGCTTTTCTAATGATGAAACTTTGTCTCCAGATTTGGTATTGGATCTTAAAAATAGATAAGCCTCCGTACTTTATGATACCGCATTTGAATAGCGTATGTACGTAGAATCATTTAACAAAGAAAACTAACCCTTTATTCCAGTAAAATACTGAACAAATGATGTTTTTGTGGTATCGAATACCTTTAATGCTACAAGAGAAGGACAAATATTTATTTCGCAAAGAACATATCAATAAAATCTGCACAAAATTCTCTATCTTTTGACATCAGAACGAAACTTTCTCATCCAGTCTAACTTGAGAAAACGGCCTATCAAAAGCCGGCAATTTCTTCTGGCCCACCCATTATTATGATTTCATGAAATATTACTATTTTATTAGACTGGAGTCTGCATGGATCCTTGGTGGTCATGTTAAGTTTAATCAAATCTGTTTTATCAGCGTGTCGATTAACTTATTATTAGTTCATTCGATTTTATCATAAACTATTCGTTATTTTTTTTTTTATTATTATCAACATTAAAACAAACTCTCATGAAGAAAAAAAATAATAATAATAAAGTATTCTTTCTTTTGTATGTCGTCATGCTTCGAAGATGAAATTACTATTTCAGTCATTACTATTTACAAAGACTCAATAGTATTGAAAAATGAAATAAAGCATGTAATTTTATTCAAGTAGGTGGAGTAAGTACTTTTTTCTTGACATCACGTAGAGACATTAAGTGCACGAGAATGATTGTAAAGTCTCTCTGTCTCTTCCTCTCTCTTTTTCTTCTTTCTTCATTTAGTCGATATATACTCCATATCGAATGTCGATGAACGACAACACTTATTATTTTGTTGAACATTGATTTACTTTTCTTTTTTTTTTTGTTGTAAACTATGTCAATGACAGCAATTGATAATCAACATGAACAACTTGTTTCAATGGTAAATCAACTTATGGATGAACGTGAAATATTATATCGTGAAAATGAATATTTAAAAGCTAAATTAAATGAATCAATATTAATTGAAACAATTCAAGAAATGAAAAAAGAACGAATTTTTTTATTAAAATTATTATCAAATTTAACAATAAATAATAATCAAGATGATCAATCACGATATGTAAAACATCATATAAAAGAAAAGTAAGTTGAATTCTTCTATAATATGTTTAAATTCTGAAAAATATTTTTAATTAACAAGTGATGTAAAAGTTCTTGTACAAATATTAAATTCAACTATATTGAAAAAGAAGATGATAGAAAGTTCATTGTTTTCTCATAAGATACAGCGTGATTTTTTTCAATGTTTTTCGTGTTTAGCTTTTACTTTGATAAGAAAAAATTTCATCTCTTGATTAAGATTTAAACTTTCGCAGGTGGTGGAACAATTGAGTCTAGAATAAACTCAACAATCTTTATAAGAACCACAGCGGGAAGTTGAAAATACGGAGGTCAACCTATTTATGTCATTCAGATGAAAGACAGTTAGTCCTTCTTATTTCCAATTCACATTTTACATAATTCAAAAAAAAAAAACTTCATAACTTGTGTCAAAAAAAACGTGTACTTGAAGAAACACTCGAACATTTGTCTTTATTTAACTTCGACTCTCGAAAGAATTATGAATATATTACTAGTAGTTGTCCTTGAAGACGGTGGAAAATTTTTATGCAGTGCATAAATCTATCAATACAATGGGACGAGAAACAAATGTTTAAATCTATCCTAACCTACAATACCTGGATCTAGGATAGGCTTCAGTATATTCAAACCTCATGGTTCCGCTACCTATAAATATACACGATTATATTGACCTTTTACTACGCATACAAAGCCATAGCCACGTTCCACTATTATCGTTTGTTTCTAGTAGAAACTTGGTTTTTTTTGGAAATTTGAGTATCAATTGTTTAAAAACCTTATCGCTTTACTGTACTTATCTCCAAAATATTGACTATATAATAGAGACAGATATGGTGAGACTAAAAAACATGTACAAAACGTTGGCTAAAGTTCTCAGAAGCCATATCTCTATAAAAAGAAGTACGTTTATGTGAATTTTTCTAGACGTCATTTCAGCATACAAGCACACACTGCTATTGAGACATACGATTTGTTGATTGCTAAGAAGATTTACAGTCGGCTTTTTCGTAATTTTAGGATCTATCTGACAACAGAAGAAATCAACTTTCTGTTCTAATATAGTGCAAGAACTTTTGTATCATTCGTCCTCACACACACACAGTAAAAGACCTTGATTCTTCTATTATGAATTTCACATCGGTCTTCTAATTTGTAGAAAGTAGTTTCTATATTTATCATATACGTTATGATTAATTCATTTCTCCTCTTTTTTTCTTTTTTTAGTAATACTGATTTTCTTCCACCACCTTCCTATCAAACATACAGTAGTAAACCAGTTCATTATGATAATTCATTAGCTGAACAAAATTCAACTATTTCACGTAATAATCCATCTGTAATAAATAATCGTAATCGTATTTATCGATTAAATACCAATACTGAACAACAAAAACAACAACAACAACAACAACCAACAGTTATCTATCGTATTGATAATTCAAAAGAAAATTTAATGAATAATTCCGATAGATTATCATCATCATTATCATCTACTAATCATATGAAACATCCTCAATCAAATAAAAAAGTTTTTGTTTATAAAACATCAATTACACCACAAACACAAGAATCAAATAAATTAATTCGAAAATATGATTGTCAATTAAAACATAGTCAAAATTCTCCATTTCGACATTATCGTTCACAATCATTACAAGATTTAACATAATTCATATATTCAGAAAACAATAATTATATAAAGAAAAAAAAAAAAAAAAAACTTTCAATTGTTATTTCTTTGATATTTAAAAAATAAATTTCATAATAATTTATTTAATTTTTCTTCTGAATATAAAAAAAAATTACTGACATTAACAACAAAACCATTTCAAATGTACTCATACATAAAAATATTATTGGGTTTACATAAATTTCGGTCTGAATTCAAACTTCTCTCATTACCTTCACTAAAAACTCGAAATTCTTTTAAAAAATTAATATACTCCATAGTACTCATCAAGATGACGTAATCTAACCATTAATTGAACAACTAAAGCATTTCAACTACAAAATTCATACGACTTAGCACTACGGCATCTTGCTGAACGAAATTCTAGAACTGTAATTTGATCTAAATGCGTACTATTAATAAATACTTTTTTTTATTGAAAATGCATACTGTTAATCACTATAGAGTATACCAAATATTTATAGAAATAAGAGTTTTAATGAGAATTTTGAATTCAAACAGAAATTTCGATGTCCTATATTATTTTATTTACAATGTTTAGATAACCATTTAAGACCTTCTGATAAACCAATTCCATCCATAGCGGAACAAGGTATTATAACATATGGACGAGTAAAATTCTCTAAATGTAATGCTTGTCGTATTTCATCTGGTTGCATACAATTGACAACATCTTGTTTATTACAAAATACAAGTAAACTAACATTACGCATTTCACGATCATTTAAGATTTTTTCTAATTCACGACGTGCTTCATCAATTCGTTCATAATCAGATGAATCAACAACAAATATTAAACCTTGAGATCCAGTATAATAATGACGCCATAATGGACGAATTTTATCCTTAAGAAAAAAGAAGAATGAAAATTATTGTATATTTCAATAAATAAAATTTTTTCTCTAGAAAAATACGACAAACGAAATTCTCTCAATTCAGGCAATTTTTTTGTATTCTGATAATATTAAAAATAGAATAAAGCACTACAGTTTTCAGCATTGAAACGAGGAGATCAAGTCGCATCGAATTATATATTATAGATTTTTTGCAGTGTTTTTAATCAATTTTTTCGGTTAAGAATTTTGAGAAGAATATCTATAACTCTAGAACGATTAAATGTAAATAATCTAAGACTTTCGTAGTTTTGTAAATCTTTTATTTGTGATTCGAATGCACAACTGATTATTGAAAACTCACTGTAATCATCTCACAGCATATATTGATTTTCCAAAAAGTCTGTAATATACAATTCGATGCGTCTTCATTTCCTCTTTCTAGAGATGAAAACTGATTTTTCGTTAAATCTAACTAAAAAAAACTCATGCTACGATTATTCGTTATATGCAAAATTCTCGTAATGAGAACACTTATTTCTTATTCCAAAGATGCTGAGAATATGGGTCATCGACCTCTAACACGGTCAATTTTCGATCACTTTAATTGAAGAAAAAAAAAGTTCTGATACATACAGGAAAATTTGTTTTTCATTTTTCCGGCCCGGTACACTCAATCGAACTGAAACTTTTTTCTACAGATATTGGGCACTGTTGATTTTACAAAAGTCTTCAGCAAAAAAAAATCATGTATTTTTGAAGGTATGCTCAGTATTTCAAATGGAAAGGTTGAGAAAGTGAACTAACCTTTAGCCTTTGTGATTCAGATATTTTCTAGAAGAAAGTATTTAAGAAAGCAGAGTCTATGAAAACTTTAGTTCTACTCATCAAGAACTATCTATTCTGAAAGTTTCAAATATTTCTGATTAGTCATTCTCTTTAAAAACTTCGAGTACGGGGAATCTTCTTAATCTGGTAACTTTTTTTAAGAATCAACCAAATCAATCTTTTTATTTCTCAGTTGAAAAACGATTCATATTTCTTTTTATAAACTCATTAACATCGGTTTTTTTTTTGTTCTTTTCTTACTTGTCCTCCAACATCCCATACAGTAAAATGAATATGATCTGAAATGATTGTTTCAACAGTGAATCCAACAGTCGGTACTGTTGGACGAAATTCTTGTAGACGAAGACGAGAAAGAATTGATGTTTTTCCGGCATTATCTAGAAAAAAAAAGAAATTTATAAAAATTATTTAATTGAAGAATGTTATTATACCGAGTCCAATCATTAATATTCGATAACGTTTTTTACCAAAAATTGATCCAAATATATTTCCCATAGTTTTATTTTGATTAATAATTTTCTTTCAATTATTATTTGGACATCTTTGTTTAATAAATAATAGAATTAATGTTCCATCTCTCAACCAATTATATTAATTATGACTCATCATATCAGATACAATTTTGACATTTACCAATAAGAAATATTTAAGAGGGCGGTAATAAGAATTCTTTAACGTGACAATGATGAATGGATCATTGAATATTTATATTTGCTATACATGCTATTACAAACATTTAATATATCAATGTTGAAAAGGAGGAGCAAATATAATTTACCTGCAATTATATTCAAATTAAAAATGACACATTCATTTTATTAGTATCAATATGACTATTTTTTACACGTATTATTATTATGATCGAGACAATATGTCGAAAAGACAATCCAAGTAATTATCATATATCATTTTTTTTTGACTGAATCAATTTGAATTTTTTATCTATGATTGATAACTTAAATATGAATTGTTTATATAATAAAACATTCTTATCACGATATATAATTCAAAGTTTTTTATTCAAACATGCTTTTTAAACTTCTATTATTTCCAAAATATTGAATCTAAGTACAATTCAAAAGATTATTTATAAAAAATTGAATTAAAAATTTTTATTCTTTATTGTAGTTTTTTTTGTACAATAAATATATTAAGTTAAATGAAGAAAAAAAAAAAAGAGCAACATAACTAACCTGACTCTATTCATCAAATAATGTCAACAAAAAACTGTGGACTTATTTCTTTAGTTATATTCATATGTAAACTATTTGAAGGTCTTACAAGATAAAAAAAAAAAAAGTAATTCTGTTGGTTTTTGATAAGGTGTTTTTTCCTATGTCAATACCAAACAAATACACTAAAATAAAAAAAAAGAAAGAAAGAAAAAGGGAGACAAGTAAACTTGCCTCGTTCGCAATGACAGCGGTGGGATTCGAACCCACGCCTTTTACGACTGGTGCCTAAAACCAGCGCCTTAGACCACTCGGCCACACTGCCAATATTCATCTATGTTTCATTTGTATATCATGTAGGAAACTATTTTAAGAATTGATTTCAATGAAAGAAATATATGTTTATTTTTTCTTTTCTTTCAAAGTTAAAATTATTTTATATTAACTATTTTCATTATTATATCAAATGCAATGAATAAAATATCGAAAGACAATATATATATATATGCACGATAAGATCTATCTGAAGGAACTATTCAAACTAAGTATTAGTAATTAATGTTCCAGAAAACAATATATTAGAAGGTAAATGTTAATTTCTTCTGTAAAGTATACTGTAGGAACAGTAGATGTTTTGTACATTTACTATTAGAAACACTGGTTCCGAATGCATATTCAATAGATTATATCAATTAAATTTTTCGAAAAAATAGTATAACTTATTATAGATACATAAGAATCATTGAAATTATCTTTTACTTGAATTGAATAAAGCAGTTAGAACAATGAATCTTCAATTAGAAACATGATCTAACAATTTCTAGATAAAAAAGATTTGACTATTTTTCGCGTATTGACATAGAGTGATAAGTAGTGTATTAGATCTCAGAATTTCGTGTTCTTTCAGTATATATACTTACGAGAGAACTACTCGAACTAATATCCACTGTTTGAATTCACAAGAAGATCTCGGTAAGAATAGAAAAAACCTAAAAAGGTTCGTGCCCATGAGCTTCTGGACCTGAATTATAACTTTTCTACTGAATTTTCGATTCAGCTTTAGTTATTTATCGAAGTATTAACTAACGAAGTTTCAACAGAAAATAATATTCGTTTGGTGAGATATTGAGTTTCTAAAAAGGTAAATACCTAAAGTTGGATGAAAAAATTCTGTACAACAGTCATAATTCAGCTCATTCTTTACAAAGCGGTATATTTAAATAAAATTGTTTTTTGGAAACTGTTGAGGTGTAGTCAAGACTTTCGTATAGTCTATCGCAAGAAAAATGTCTATTTTTGCCTTTTCAGCACAAAATGACCCTCCATTACAACCGTCCTGTTTTTTATCGAATTAATCAAAACTCTTTGTTCTTGAGTCATTGCGTATAGTAGAGATCACTCTCAAATACTATATATATGTACAGAACTTATTTGATGCAGATTTGTCTTCAGAAAAATAAGATTTTTGTCTCTTCAGATTTTTTGAGTCTTCTCAAGATTCATTTATACATCAATCATCAATAATTACAGAATATATAACGGATGGTCAATAAAGCATGAGATACTTTGATTTTCTTTTGAAGACAGCATTCCAAGCTCATTCGATAGAGAATTTTTCACCCTATAAAACTGTCGACTTTGTTCTTCAAATAAATTTCTCTTATTACAGAAAAATCAAAAAGATTGACAACTTCGATTGTCACAAGACAAACCAATTATTCAAAATATATTTGAATAACAATTGCACTGAAATTCGAAATATGCCATGAAATACTAAATTGTTAGAAAAAACAAATATTTGAAAGGACAATTTTTCAAGCAAAAATTACAAAACGATGCAAATGATTCTTTTCGCATAGCTTTATGCCATTGAACATAATCTAAAGATTTTCATTACTCGATTTTTAAATTTTGAACACAATGATATAATGATAAACCGTTCATACGGCACGGTAACTTTTGAAAACTCGAGTTTTAAAAGCAAATTCAAAACAAACTATTATCAGTTGTTAAGAACTTGAAAGCATAGAGCATAAAATTTTCTATCTTATTAATACTATATACTTTACATTTACCATCGAAATTGGTAAGTATAAGATTGCACAAATCGTTAGATATCAGTACG